TCTCTCCAATACAAACATCGTTCTCCAGGACGCAGCTCCTCTTTTCCAGTGAACTTTCTCAACAAGGCTCTCCTCAACTTCACGTCAACTTCGGCCTTGGCGCATGCGGACTGTGCTGAGAACTTCAACCGGAGAGGTCGGTGTAGTCGTTCTTGCTCTCCCATCTGCAACTGATTGGCCGCGGTCTTTTCATCTGACAGCAGTCCAGGAAGATTTGGCTGTCGGTCCAACGCAAGCTGAGTTGGCGTGAAGCCGTTGACTGAGAGCTGGAACTACCCAATTCAAGGCGTCACGTAGTCCTGCAAGATCTCTCAGGCTGTGTTCTTTCGTGAACACCTGCACTCTCTGGGCTTGATCGTGGGGAATCGTACGAGCCATCATGTACCTGGTGGCCTCATCGACCATCACGAGGATTCCAACTTTTCTATTCTTCTTCTTGCCCTTCTCTTGGAAATCCTCCAACGTGTCCAAATCAAGCCGCAACACATCAGCCTGCACATGGACGTTGAACTCCTTGGCTCGGTCAAGGTGGGCTGGTACTGAGGCCTTCTTCACTGCAAAGGTGTTGCAGTAGGGCATTCCAGGTCTCGGATGGCATTGAGAACCTTGGGATCAACTGGCTTGTCCTTGAGCAGCTCGAGGAGGATATCAGGTCTTGGGTGTCCGAGGTTCCTGTGCAGTCTGTAGGCGATTCTGACTGCTTCACTGCCGCGCTTGGTGCCAAGCTTCCTCAGCACTCCGGTCAACTGCTCCTCCTGTCCAACAGCGTAGACTTGTTCATGCGATCCTTCTTCTGTCATGGCTGCTTCTGCAAGGTGCCTTGCCAAGGTCTCTGGGTAGTCCTCAGCTGCCCTGCAACGGTGTCCTCCTTCAAGTGGTTGGCGACGGTGGTCCTTGCTGCGTCGCCGAGACATGTGCCACACCATGGCCTGCTTGGTGGTTTGGATGGTTGTTGTCTTCTGGATTGGTGCCCGGTCGCCATCGTCAGTCCATGTGACTGCTCCATAGGCACATTGGTCAAAGGTGACACGCATCCCTGGTAGGTTTTGGAATGCTGGTGTCTGCCATGGACTTGCCTGGATGCTCAATGTGTGCGCGGCGGCCATGTTTGGCCTGGTTCATGTAGAGTCGCCGGCAAAACTTCAAGTGTACTTCATGGTACGCTTCTCCTGCAACTCAATGCAATCTTCTTCCGTCTTCACGTTGATGCTTTGCATTGCAGACCACAAGGTGCACTTTGGAGACATGAAAATCTCATCCGGTTCCTCCTCCATTTGTAGCTCCAACAAGGCTCTACGATGTTTTGCTTTGCTGAAATCCCAACCATCTGCCAGCCCAAAGCGCCTGACTTCAGCACCGCGACGTTGGCACTCTTCTCTAAATACTAAACCGTCCTCTGCCAGCATAGACTTCTCAGATGATTCTCCTACGTCTGGCTGTTGGTCGGGCCTCATTGAGCGTCTGTCTCTGCTTCTTCTTGATCTCCTCCAACTGCAACTCACACGCCACAAAAAGTCTTCTCATAGCCTTCCTCCCTTTTCTCACGCTCGGCCTCCTCCGCCAAGCCTTCCACTTCGGTGGACATCTCTTCAAAGCGATCGTGTGCCCTCATGTCCTGCAAGAAGGTCTTGAAGTTCATGTCATGGTCATCCTCACTCCGCAAGTCGAAGACTGGATTGTCCAACTGTTGGGGGTCTTGTAGCTGTTGACATAGTTGCAACAACATACTCCCTTGCTTTCCACGCTCAATGTCTCTCCAAGGTCCTCCCATGATCTTCATGCGATTGCCACCAAAGTCCACAACCGCCTGCAGTCGTTCCAGAATGGGACGACCGAGTAGCATGGGAGTCGCACCAAAGATGATGAACGCCAGGATGCGTCCTGCGACGCCTTCTATCAGCACAGGAAGTGCCACCATCCAACGGGAACAACCCTCTGCATCTCCTCCAAAGCGGAACAGCTTGTCACAACGCTTGAACTCCAAGCCACTGAGGTCAAAACCCTTGTATTGCAACCAGCGAAGGTATCGAAGGAGGTATTCAGTGCCAAGCAAAAAGCTGCTTGCTCCCTGGTCCTGCGTCGCAACATCAGGCTTCTCTGTAAGCCAACCTCCAGCCCTGACCAACTGGTCACCTTGGGTGCAGGCTTCCTCAATGTCATAGAACTGCTCTTCCTCCTCCTCCTCCTCCTCCTCAATGTCATGGAACTGCGTCTCTGCTGTCATGACCATGCCAGCCAAGAGTGGGTCTCCGTCTTCTAGCACTCGCTTCTTCGACGGAGATGAGGACTTGCTCTGGCAGTTGGCTGCCTTTGCCACTTGTCGAAGATGATGAGCTGCCCTTGCCACTCTTGCCCTTCTTGCTTTTACCTTTCTTGCCTCCTCCATGGACTGTGTAGAAGAGGCTTGCGAAGATGAGGGACTGAACGGCATCTGTCGTTGATCAACCATTGCAGCAACTGGGTAAAATCCTCTAGCCTGCCTCAGGTGTTGCATCCTCTGCTTTGCATCCGTGTACGCTACATAGATCTCATCGACCTCTTCTGTATCGAACAACGATTCATCCGCCTCTGTTGCTGTGAAGAAGCTGAATCATCGTCCTCCTGCCAGTATGTGTCATAGGGACCGTCGTCCTCAGGCCAGGCCTCAATGCCATCGTCCTCAAAATATGCCTGATCATACTCCCAGTCACCCTCTGCATCGGCTTCCTCAGTAACTGCATGGATGAGTCGGGGGTTCTTCCATCGTCCTTGCTGTTGCATCGGAATCCGGCGTTGAGCGACATGAGCATGTCGATGATCCTGCCCAAAAAACAAATACAATGCTGGTTCAACTGCCGTCAATGTCAATGTGGTGCCAATGTGGGTCTGAACCATGGTCTGCTGTTCCTTTGTCAATGCAGCCCGTCTCAACATCAGCCACCCAGTCACTTCTGGCGGTGGTGCAATCTTGTATTTCATCAACTCTCGAAGCGACTGATTGAACTCTGTGCAGTACTCTATAGGAGGGATTGACCCTGCCGCCTGACCATCGAAAAAGAACTTTTCAAATGCCTCTGGCATCTCGACCTTCTCGTCATATTGCCACTGAGCGTCCAACCTTCTCAGGATAGCCAGAATGCCTTCTTCTTTTGCTAACTTGCTGATCTCCAGATCCTCGCATTGACGCCATGAGGCGCCTTCCAAAATTGAAAGAACATTCAACGCTGTCTCCTTTTCTCTGCCCTGCAACTTTTGGCGGTGTGCATACAACTGAATGCGTTTGCGCCACTCCTTGTATCCAACAGTGGTATTGTCAAGTCTTGGAACGAAAAACTTGTCGGATGCGGAGTCCGGTTGCCTCCCAGTGGAGGTCTCATGTGACATGGCTCTCGCGCGGCCGCCCCGGGAGCCGACGTATTGTCGGCTCCGCTACCAATGTGAAAACCTAGGTCAACAAACCAAGGTCAGGTCCCCAATGCGCTCGAGGTCAGTGGGGGAAAACACAAAGTGAGGTGTGGACATGAAAGCCCCTTTTTGCGTAGTCTATGGACGTGACTCAAGGGCCCTGCATTCGAACCCGAGTAGCGGCGCGAGATGACCGGTTTGTGGGCCACAAATTGACAGAGAGTGCATCAGTGAACACGGGATCACCTGTGATCGTACTCACATTTTGAGTCCATGGAACATGCCATAAGGTGGGGTGACAAGACCCTTTCACTGCGCGAAAAGCCTGCGCATGCCGTTGCACCTTCATTTTGATGATAATTCATTGGATTCACAGCATATTACTGGCATCTTTCACAACTTCGCTCACAAATCCACCCATCTTGAATCGATTTTTTCTTGTCATAACGTCCCTTATTATGCAAAACTACTATCATCTGCACTGCCACCTACCTCCACCATCTCTAAAGCCTTTGCTTCCGACTCAAATATTCTACAACCTACGAACATCAAAACAAGCACTCTGGGGCTTTTGCCCGACTATTCAAACGAATGTGCTCAAAAATGTCGGCGTTGGTTTCCACAACGAGGCGAGGTCCACAAGCATCAGAAAAGGCAGTGAGAGATGCAGACGACATTGGAAGGAATGCAAAGAATTTGCACGGGCCGCATTGATGCCCCCGCATCCTCCTGACACCTTCTGTGATTGCTGGAGGACTCGCACGCAGTGGCCACCAAACGTAACGTGTGTTCCACTCTTTCTTCCCAGGGCAACCACTTCATCAGACCTTTGTCGGTTGGGTACAGTAGCCCAAAAAACCCTCCTTCACAGCCCCCAAGCCGTCAGTTGCGGTGCATGAAGAAGGTGGGCACCACAAAAGCTGCACACCATAGTAGCTTCTTGTTACTAGTAGCGATGGCCTCCACCTAAGAGTAGCGTCCTTGCTGCTAGTAGCTTTAGGTGCATTTATTTGATCAGGCTGTACTGTGGCGACTTCCAGAGTTTGCGGGCTAGGGCCCAGCCCCCAAATTCACCATTCGTGGGACTGCTTCTTCAAAGGCCTTTGAAAAGATTGCTTGGCTTCAAAACTTTGCTTGGGGCCGTTGGGCGCAAATGTGAAACGCAATGTCCAGACTTTTGCGGCAGAAAGCAGATCACTGTTCACAAAACACTGCAGGTTCCCAGGCGCGAAAGCGCCATTTGCTGATGTAGCGCTGCCAAAATGTTGGAGCGGCAGGTCAGTAATTACAGTGCCAAGCAAGTTTTCGGGGAACCACCATCCCTTCCCACCGACCGGAAGTATCACCCCCTCCGCCGGACACCGTGCCCAACCACTCTATGCAGTTCCATCGCGTCCACCCCCCAAGCTGCCCTACTCACTTGTTTCGCAAATCCACAACTTTGCCTAGCCTAGCAGCAAGGACGCTACTAGGGACTCCTGGCAACTAGGAACAAGAAGCTACTAGGGGCTCCTGGCCTTACTACTAGGAGCAAGGACGCTACTATAGTAACAGCTTGTAGCTTCGGAGATTCTGGGAGCATGGGACAGCGCGTGAGTCTTCTCCGAGCAGTGGACGATGACAATCTGGGTGTTGTTGGCATAGTTGTAGGTCACCTCAAAGGGGAAGTACGTCAGCACCTCGCTGCACTGCTTCGGGCAGTTCTGCAGTGAGCTTTTGGCCGGAAGCATGATTCTGGGTAAGTTCACAACACCTATAGCGAGTATCGGTATTTTGCATAACAGTACCATCAGCATTGTAGAGCCTTCAGAGCTCCCACCCCCCATGGCCCGCTCTCCAGAAGGGGTGTGGAAATTCGTGTCATCAGAAGGGGTACACATGTTGATACAGCCAAAAAGAGGTGTCAAACATGCGAGAAACAGCACCATGATTGACAACAGTCTTGAGAAATCTCGGGCGCGGGCTTCGTAGAAGTTCCGCATGTCCTCCACGGCCTTGAGACATCCAAGTGATGGACTTGGCCCTGTCCACTGCAATGACGTTGAAAGAGTCCCATTTCCCAAGTATTCCCAAGAAGTATTCCCAAGTCACCTTTCTTTGCAAGGTTTGTCAACCAGGTCTTCCAGAGTCCAAGAGCCAGACTGTGACTGTATCCTCGGGGAACGTCCTGAGATAGGTGGGCAGGGCACAGGGGGAGGGGCTTCACCGTCTTCAAGAAAAACGCTGAGAACTGAGGCCAACCACTTGGAGGTCCAATGGATTTGAGCTGCCCAGGTATCCAAGGAATAGTCGTCCCTCGGCCGTTCATTGAAACTGATTGGATCCAAGTTGGGATGTACGATATGGGGCATGGGCCAGGCGATCCCTCTAGGACTCTTAGGGAATAGTGAAACCTTCCCTGTTGTGACTCTTGTGCATTTGTCATCGGAAAGTCTTTTGGCTGGTGGAGAAATGTCAACACCAACCCTGCAGCCCTCCTGCGCAGGTATTCTGTGTCCCCACCGATCAGCCAAGCACTATGCACCCAGCGGAGGCCATCGAAAAAAGTCGATCATCGGCAGAAGGAGCGCAAGCACGATGATAAGGATCGCGACCTGGACGCTTCCCAGCTTCAGGAGTGGACGCACTCCCCCCTTGGAGCCTTTCCGAGAATGCGGAAGAAGGTGAGTACTCATAGCGAATAGCGAGAAGTTGCTGGGTGTCCCATCTGGAACACTTGCAATCACCCTTAATCTCAGAAGTTTTGACCATCTGTCGCACAATCCCACGTGACGAGCTCTGAAAGCAGAGAGGCCAATTGAGTCTCCAGAATTGCGCGCAATGAGTATGGTTAGTTAAATAGCTACATTCGCCCAGCCTTCACAGACAAACTTGACATCAGCTCCTCGCAGGGAGCCACGGCCAACGGTCACTAAAAAGTCAATATTCAATAACATTACAGGAAATGGAGCAGAGAGGCTGAGAGGCCGACCATTGAAATACCTTTCGCTGGACCTGGACACTGTGTCAAGTGTTTTCGACCAAGTTGGAGGGTTCTAGTCATGCCCGGCAACCAGAGTTTTGAGAAGACAAACACCCGTTGAAGAAAGGTGTTGGCAGCCAGTGGAGTGCATTGGATTGCTGCAGGGTTCAATGCCAACAACAAAAGGACCGTCTATTCGAATTTGACCGCTCAGTTCTGCAGGAATCGGGAATCCCTGAATTCTACACTAAAAGAAAAGAACATGGTGTGTTTACGACTCAACACTTTGCCTACATCTATAGTCTGGCTTTATTTATTAGGATGGTATGTTAATGGCTCTCAAGGAGGGCAAAAGAGTTTAGCAGCCCGCTAACAAACCTCCACAAGGAAACAGGAAACATTATTGACGGTGGTTTGGTTTACATAGCTTTACTCAAGTTGCTGCAGGCATGCAACGTAGACGACGTAGACGAAGCGACAGCTTCGTCCAAACCTTTGCAGGAGAATACAAGCTTATGAAGTTGGATGAGGTTTATGGACGAAAACTTGGTGAAGGATCTTCGGAGAAGTCTGTGACAAGACGAGTACAAAAGGTGAGCCGGCCGACCGCCAAAGATCCAAAGGTCGCTTCTGCCACTTGGACGCGGCATTACTACTAGGAACATCTAGGAACAAAAAGCTACTAGTAACTAGTAACCAAGGGCAACGCTACTAGTAGCAACGACACTATTAGTAGCTCCTGGAATTACATGATCCACTTGGACCACAGGAATCGCGGAACACAGAACACCCCAGGATCGCACGTGGATTCATCCATACCGTCGGGCCGGGATGCCTTGAGCGTCGTTGTTTCCTGGAGAGCACTGGGAAAACTCATAAAATCAAGAGCAAATGGCCCGGAAAACATGGAAGGATCGGGTCTAGCGAATTGCATGAAATTGCACATGCACTGACTCAAAATTCCTCTGCTGTGCATGCAAACTTTCAAGTACTCATTAGTTTCACACGATCCTTGCAACAACTGCATTCTTACTCTCTGAGCACGCTTGTCCTAACGGGTTTTTTGAACAAGCAGAAAAGAATCAAACAGTACTTATGTTATAGAAGCATACCCGACATCTGTAGCATCTGCTGTCTTGGTTGGCCACCCGACACGGCCCTCTCATTGGAGCGACAGACACGGACCTTCGCCATCACGTGAGCCCGGGAAAAAGCGCAAGAGCTTCGCTAGCCTGATCGCTGCTGATCTTTACTTTGCGCCTTTGAACGATTCAGAAACTATTGCAACGGAATTCAACCGGACAACTCTTGGAACAGTCACACAGGACCTTCTTGTTTCCAACTTGAAGACGTGAACTGACTTGAACCTCATATGAAGTCATGGCTCTGAAAGGCTCTGATAGCATCATAGCCAGTTAGTTCATGTCATGAATGTCATGAACCTTGTGAATCATGTACAGTATATAGTTCTCATCGCAAACACCTGTCATGTCATCCACCTCTTAGCAGCTTTGTCACATGAAGTCTTCCGAGCGTTCCCTCACACACCCACCTTGACAACCGGACCGCCCGGGCACTCAGCTTGGCAAACTTGGTCACACGCGCCAGACCTGAGGCCTGGCTGGAGGCACTTGCAACAAATCCAAACATCAAGCAAAGCTTCCAGTCGCCTGCTTGTTCGGCCAAAAGGAAATGCAAAAACATGTCGCAACTAAATTAGCCTCCAAAATTATTGGGCAATAATAAGTGCACAATCCTTGGCAAAGAAATTAAGCCTGTTCAAAGCTATCCAAAATGACATGGTGACATGAATTGAATACAGTACGTGTCCGAAACGAGAGCGTGGGACCGCCTCGAAGATGTCCACAAAGTTGTCTGCAACCAGGGAATGGTCCCAAGGAACTGAGAGGATGCCAACAATGTCGGTCCAGAAAGGATACCTTGAAGTTCCAGACTTTCAGTGCTGAAGGTGTCACAAGGACCCAGGATGACTGAAGACATTGAATGCCGTTTCGTTTCCCACACCCTGATGAGTGACACTTGGCCAGTCCGGGCAGACCCCCTAGCGACCTGGAAAAAAGGCTCGGACTTGTTCACATAAGCATCCCCGTGAGCCACGATATTCGCGGCAAACTCCGCGACCTTAGGTCTTACAGGGACACGATAGGCTGACAAATGAATCTTGAAATGGTGTTAGTTATGTGTTATATATATATATATCAAGGTCGTTTCACTGATGCTTGATGTGTCACACCAGCATATCTGCCATCATATTGGACTAACCTTACTGGCCGGAGGGATCATGATCCTTGCTTCAATCGGTGAGAGCTACTAATATGTCGAGCCTGCTTGGTTGTGCATTGAAATGGGAATGAAAGTAAGCTGATAGATCTGTTTTCAGCAAGAAATCCATGGCATCGTCACCAAAGATCCTGCATTGGTGCTCATCAGCGCTAGTCCATCCTTGTGATGTGGACAGCGAACGTAAACACACTGAAGTGCAACCACGTGCACATCAGCAAGCACTCCATCTTCGTAGAGAGCTTAAGTAAGACGCACGAAGTGCATGAACAAGGACTCCACCCTTGTCAAAACTGCACAGTAAATATCAGCGAATTAGAATGTGCACAACTCCAAGCACATGAGCCAGTTGGGAAGAATTACACAGTGTCCGACACTTCACTAGACTCAGAGGCCTTCGCCTGAGGATACTTCTTCACTGGACTGTGGTAGGTCTCGCCATGTGTGTGCTGGTCCACACCTTCCACCTCCTGCTCTTCAGGGATTCGCAACTTCATCACCAACCTCAGTGCCACCACAATGATGGCGGTACCAATCGCTGAGAAGGCCACACCTGCCATAGCACCAGCAATCTGCTTGCCCAGCAACTCAAAGCTTCCGGTATAGATCAGGCCACCATCCAAAGCAAAGATACCTGTCAAAATGGCCCCACCGATTCCACCCATGCCATGCAAGCCAAAGGCATCCAAAGTGTCATCTACCAGATTCACCTTGTTCACGATCTCCACAGAGACGTAGCACCAAACAGCACCCAAAGCACCAATAGCAATACTCCAACCGGGTGTCACGAAGCCAGCTCCAGGAGTGATACACACAAGTCCGGCGACCGCCCCGACAGAGGCTCCAACACTGGAGGATTTGCCTTTCAGAAGCCGCTCAAGCATCAACCAGCTCAGCATAGAGGAAGCCGCAGCCACAAAGGTGGTTGCCACAGCGCGGGCCGCCACACCGTCACTCACTGACAAAGCTGATCCACCATTGAAGCCCAGCCAGCCGAACCAAAGGAGGCTTCCACCCAAGATCACGAAGGGCGCGTTGGCAGGCCCCAGCTCTTTCTCCACATGTCTTCGGGGTCCGACGATGGCACCGGCAACAAGCCCAGACACACCAGAGCTGATATGAACGACAGTTCCTCCACAGGGCCCGCAACGTTGATCGCCATTACTTGACGGGGTGTCACATGTGATAAAACACAGTCCAACCAGACTCTAACAAACCGACTTGCTTCGCGGAACACAGCCTGGAATTGAATATGCAACAGTGTGAGAACCGAACAATTTCGCTTGTGCAAACCCAATTTTTTGCCACAGAATCCACGCTGGTGCTGCCTCCAGCAAAATCGAGGGCTCCCATCGCACCGATCCAGCCACCGGTGCCCCAGACCCAATGGCACAGCGGCGCATAGATTAGCAAGGACCACAAGGCCAACATGATGGAGTAGGCGCTGAAGCGCATGCGCTCCACCAAGGACCCCGAGATGATTGCGGAGGCGATAATGGCAAAGGTCATCTGGAAGGCTGCAAAGCAAAGGCCCGGAAGCCCGGAGTCACCCCACATCTTCATGTCCAGATTCATCCACAGGCTGTAGTCAAAGTTTCCCACGAACATCCCGAAGCCAGTGGAACCATTGTCTCCGAAGGCCCAAGAAAATCCAAAAACCACCCAAGTGAGGCACACGATGGCCATGGAAGCTACACTCATCATCATAGTGTTGATTACATTCGTATCGCGCACCAAACCACCATAGAAGAAGCCGAGCCCGGCGGTCATCAAGAACACCAAGGCTGCCGAGGTCAAGACCCATGCAACTGCACCAGTGTTCACGGCATCTTCAGTGAGAACTGGATTTGCCATGATGCCGGCTCTGAATGATCGCAACTGGCAAGGCAAGACGAGCTTGGAAATTTAAAACCCAATTTGCTATGAGCCAAACATAAATGAAAGGAACACATCGGTATGCGATCGACCTGTTGGCATTTCGTTCATGCAAAATTATATCTTAAGCTCAGAACGAATATGCAGAAAATGATGACCAGCGCGTTGTCCAAAACCCCATCCCCAGCCATAGCCTTGATGGTCACAGCAGCAAGCTGTCTTACTGGGCCAACTGTTTTGGATTATTTGTTCTTCTTATATAAACAGCTTCTTCAACCGCGGGTCCTTCACCTTCTTCGGCAAAATGTCTTCCAAGCTTTGTTGACGAAGGGTTAGGCAGCATCTGACAAAGTTCTCATTCTTGATTCCCCCACTACCACAATCAAACATACTGAAGATCTAACGACTGATGACCACTTGGACTGTCCATATCCACTGGTTACCCCAAACGACCTGTCTCTTTCACCGTCGGGGCGGGGAACTGAAAGTTTGCTCCGTTCGTAGCATCCTTGCTCCTAGTATTAAGGCACTTGTTTCTAGTAGCTTCTTGTTACTACCAGTAAGGCACTTGTTTCTAGTAGCTTCTTGTTACTACCAGTAAGGCACTTGTTCCTAGTAGCATCCTTGCTCCTAGTAGTTTGGCCAGGAGCCCCTTGTAGCGTCCTTGCTCCTAGTAGCGATGCCAAGAGCCCCTAGTAGCGCCATTGCTCCTACCTGCTCACAGTGCTCAATCACTGCAAAGAATAAAAACGTAGTGAGCACACCACACCTTCAAGAAGTGTTCCCGAGAAACAAGCTGAGGCTAGGCAAGTGATGTCCTGCAAGCATTGAGCTAGCTGCTAGCTGTGTGATGTTCGAGATAGCTCCGCAGTAGCTTGCAGGTGAGTGGTTAGCTGAGCTACATCATAGGACGCCTGGCCAAGCAGTGAATGATGGTGAACCAGCTTATAAAACGGTGAGTCACTAGCTGGATGAGTTGGCCGAGACTTGAGTTAGCCACTTCTCTCGTCGTGAGCCAGCTGCTTGTGAACACAACGATTATTTGGCTAGCGAGGTAGATGGTGCCCAGACTCCACTGAGCCATTTTCGAAGGAATGAATGTGTCAGTCAGGTCTTGGACTGTATGAAGCTGGTCAGAACATTCTTGCTTGGACCCAGAAATTGAGGCGAAGCAGGGAGAATGACAACTATTTGTTTAGGTGCTCCAGGTGAGTTCCACAGCTTCCATGGCAAATAGGTAGGACTCGGTAGGACCAAGACACAAGCAACCTTGACACAATGTGCAGTCAACAACAACCCAATCTGCCACACACAAGCAAAGCACTGTGTGTTCTTCAGCCGTTTGTGCAGCCCAGCAGCTAAAATGACCCAAAAGTCAGGAAGAAACAAAGCCAGGACCAAGTTGGTTGTAAAGATTGCCTGCAAGAAAACTGGCGTGCCAGCATCATCAGTGACAAAACACTACACGACGACTTACTATTATCCTGAAGATCGAAGCCTGAAGGACTGGATTGTCCAGGATGATTTTGACCTGCGCAAGCAAAAGGACAAATATACATACCCAGAAGATGCTCCAACAGACTAGGTTGGAGGCCGTCGCTATTAGGTCGGAGGCCATCGCTATTAGCTGCTATACCCCCACCTTCACGAAACGATGTGTTGAAGCAGCAAGAACCAACGTGGCGTGACACGCCTGATACCGCCAGAGGGTGCCAGGCGCCACCGGGTCCACCGGCTCAGACAGTGGCACAGGCAGCGCGGGCGTCTCCTGGCGACCACGTGGGTCGAAAGGCTAGGACTGAGAAAGGCTACTGTGAGTCTAGGAGAGTCTAGAGTCAGTCTAGAGTCAATGTGACTTGCGAGTCTAGTCTTCATGAACAACTTGGGTAAGGTCTGAGAAGGGCTACGTCTACTTACGTACCCTTCAAACGAGTGGCAAAAGGTAAACGGACGAGAACCTTCAGGTGCATTGGTTTCATTTCTGCACTAATACAAGAGAAAGCGCATAGATAGATAGATAGAAAGATAGATAGATAGATAGATGGATAGATGGATAGATGGATAGATGGATAGTAAGATAGATAGATAGATAGATGGATAGATGGATAGATGGATAGATGGATAGATGGATGGATGGATGGATGGATGGATGGATGGATGGATGGATGGAT